GAGATGTAACTAAATAGTATTTTGTATAAATTCTCATGCAATTTAGTGGCACAAGCAAGTTTTCAAAACACAAGAATACTCTTAATGGAGCACTGACAATAATTGGGTATCATCAAGATGTATACCTTTTACAGTTAAATTTCTTTACATTTGTACATACTTTGCTTTAAAAAGCTCAATCTTCCACTCTGAGTAATAGTTATTGGTTATAATTCCCATAAATATTTGAAAAGTTACAATTCTAAGTATTCATGATTTTTCATATTTCATTTAAGCATTTCTGCTTCATCAGTAGCCAAGTGGTTAAACTATTGAACACTGGTAGATCAATTTAACTTCAAAGCCAGGCAAATGGGCTGGTTTCATGATTATTTTTCATGGTTTTCCTTATGTGTAATGCAAATACAAGCCAGTTTCGTTTAGAAAGTTTTCCATGAATGCATTTCTACTCTTATGCAGACAGCCTTTGTTTGCTCTGTTACATCAAAATAAAGCTAACCTTCATATCGGCTCATCAAATAATAAAGTACTTTTAGTCATTACCCTGACTATCACAAATTTGGGTATCAATCATATCAGATAATTAGGTATTAATCATATCTTTTTCACATATTTCTAATGTTACACTTATTATTTCATAAAATTTTGAATTATCTAGCATAACACTTTGTTGCAAGTTTTTTTATTCAGGTACATGTAGTCCTTATTTCTTTTTCACTTAATCCCATGTTCATGATGGTTCAGTGATTCTGTAAGAATGCCTACAGAGCAGAGTGTTCTTGGACTGAAACTAAGGAAAAAAAGTCCCCCCCCCCCGTTATATTCAAATAAGCATGCTGTGCATTTATTACTTTCAAACTGCATTTCATTTATGCAAGACTGCATCAATTGTGGTTTAATCATGTTACATTTTTTCCCTTTAAGTTTATAATTTCGTTTCTTATTCAAACTTTTAACGTGTTTTTTGTTTTATGAATTTTTGGGCACATTTTATATTTAAACTTTAGCATTAATGTACCCAGCAATGCTAAAGTGAGATAAGAAATCTGGACAAAAAACTGTTAAAGAGCCAAAATTAATAAAAGAACTACCAATCTGATAAAATGACATATTTTCCTTTCTGCACAGATCCCTTCACTCTGGCTGAAAAAGCAACACATAAATTGTCGATAGTTCTAGTATTAAAAATATTAAAAAGAAAATTTCTTATTACAATATAACACATTTGAACTGCATGCAACATTCTTATACAGCTAAGGTCACTACCAATGAAAAATTTTAAAATCATTAATTGGAAGATTTTATCAAACCACTGAAATTACAAACTATATATAGCTTGGATGCAAAGAATAATAGAATTTGTATTTTGTGCATTCATGAATAATGGCAGTATTTAAGTTGCAGGAGTGCACATTTCACATATTTTATGCAAATATTAATTAGTACTGAGATGCTGCATTCACAGTTATGAAGAAAATATTTATAAATTTATAACTTTGAACTGAGATGATAAGATCCCATTCCTGTTTTGTTGATCAACATTCTACAATCAGCTGTTGTCAATGTAAGCTCTGTTGTTTTCTAAACATAGCCGACACAATATTTAAAGTGGGAAAATATTTAAGCACTGCACTTTTATTCACATCTGACTTGGTACTTTTCAAGTTATAAAACAATGTTCATTACATAAATAAATGCATACAGTACAAAGTCTGAGATCTAGAATTATGGCAATTTCGAATTTTAGATAATTAGTTTAAATCTAGTAAAATGATATGTAGGCATGGTAATGGTAACATTTGGGCTTCACTTGTTGTTTAGATCAGACAGAAAAATGCTAACCCCTCACAAGCATTCAAGATCTGAAAGTATGATCCTAGCCAACATCCAATATGTCAATGAATTCATTTTCCTTGGCCATGGTAACACTTCTTAGCCACCAGGTGTTTGAAAGTGACATGTGAGGAATCTTAGCTAGTGGAGAGAAAAATCCCACTTACAGTGCACCTGCATCATTCAAGTATTACAATCTCCCTTTCTAGACCTTGTAAGAGGAGAGAATTTTTCTTGTTATTTTATTTTTATTCATATATTTATTTCTCATTGGTTTGTTGGTCTGGAGTTCTGAATCCTAGATCATTCCAGGTACAGGACGTCCGAATTTCAAACTTTATATTGTAGTACAATCACTTGGACTATCAGTAAACAAAATGGAATACTCTTCCTATTTTTTATTTTTTTTGCAACATTTCTTTTTAGAATCATTCCTCTTAGCGCTTTTGGAAGCTTATTTACCAGCATCACAATTGCCTGTTTTTGAAATTTTGAATAAGAAAATTCACTGGAATTTTTTTTGGCTGCCTACAAAAGTTTCTTTGGGTAGATTTCCTTTTAAATATAATTAAGTCACCCTGCATAATTAACTGTAAAATTTCTATTGCAAAAAGAACATGGCAACCATATTTAAGGTTACCATACCCCTTCCTGTTTTGCATTGATATATCTGAGTAACTTCAATCATCAACTAATATAAAGCATAATCAGGTGAGAAAGATTCCATCGTTAGCCTTCCTCATTCATTACATGTCTATATTACAAGTCAACCTAAGTTGAAAACACTAGATATAGTAGAAAGTGCATGTGTTCACTGTAGAATACAATTCTACATTTCAAGATGTCACACTATAAAAATTTCGCTATGAAATATAAAATGTTGAGCAAAGGGAACAGAATGAAAAAAATGTGCGAAACGGCAGATTTTATTGTATCCAGTTTTCAATTAAATTAAAAAACTTATTAAATAAATAATTTATAAATTTTAAATATAAACAAATAATCTATTTATATTTAAAAATTAGCTAATATCATGTCAGTCATTTGATGACCAATAGAAAGACATTCTCTCTTTTTTGCATTATTGGTGAAACTGCTAGTTCCAGCAACTGTGACCAAACCCGACTCTCAATGAGAAAAGCTATTGTTGGACATCTGCTTCATCTCTGACGTATATATGTATAATTTCAAAACCCCATAAGGCTGGAAAACAACTAGTAGTTCCCGCTAAGATTATTGTTATAAATGTTTTTGTCAAATTACGGGAGCATTTTCCTAACAAACCTGATTATTTTGCTCTAGTTTCATTTGCGTTTTTGAGACAAGCATAAATTGCATGAAATCTGATCTTTCTGACTCGTGGAAAAAATGACCTCTGAAATTCGGTACATACAAACTCGAATCGAAGGACACGATGAACAAAGTTTAGCAACACTACGAAGAAATGTTCATGTTTCTGTTTACAGAATGAGCCATGAAATGTTGTGAAAGGTTGTTTTAGCTTTGTATGTATTCTCAGGTTAGATTGTCGTGAGGTACAGTGTGATTATATGGCATCATCGAGAAGGTGCAGAATTACCGCAGCACATTCACAAGAATATTCTGTGCAGGTGACTTTACTTTTATACAGGGTTAAGTAAAAGCAAACCACACAAACAAATCTTCATATTTTTAACTTCTCATTTTGTTTGGTTAAGCCATATGGTTCAATTAATTATGAAGCTTTTAAACATTTCATGGTGCCCCTGTGAAGAGGCCACGGCACACAGTTTGGGAACCACTGATCTACAGTGTTAGTATCACCATTTATTGCTTTACTTTTCATAAATATTTTGCTTAAAATAAAAAGTTTAACTATCAACAATTAAGTTTTAAATGGTAATAAAAAATGAACACATAAAAATAGCATATGAAAAAATTATAGGTGTTAAAAAATTTTTGTAACTTCACAATCTTTTAAAAAGCACATAAATAAATAAGACAATAGTGCGAATTTCACAAAATAATTAAACATATTACTTAATAAATTCAGGATATAGTTTGTAAGGTATTCCAGGGTTATATTTCAAAATTAACTTGCTTTTTTTTGTTATAGATAAATCTGGATTTTTCTAGGATGTCTGAAACATATTTATTAGAGAAATATTTTTACCATTCATTTATATTTTTACAACATACATTCAATAAGAAAAGTAGAAACATCAGGTGAGCATAGGAAAGAAATGTGCATATGATATATCAAAGTCTGGATAAGACAGATTCAGTTTTGGTTCAACTTCATTCTGACTGATTGAAATGCTATTAAGTATTTGCATCATTAAGTGCTAAGTAAGAATTGCATGAAGGAGATTCATTTTGAAATGATGCAGGTCAGAGATTTATTATAAGCAATTCGCTATTTTTATGACAAAGCCTCACTATTGGCTGACTGGTCAGGACTACTGAATACTGGGACTTCAACATCGGTTCGATCCCTCCCCACACGTAACATGAATACGCGTCGGTTTACCTTAGAAAACCCTTCACAAAGACAAACCTCCCCTTAGGCAGACAGCCCTCATGTGATTTCACATATTCAAATAATTTAACCTAATTTATAGGAGAAAAAGGTTAAATAACAAAATTAGAGTTACAAGGTACTGCAAATTTAAGACTGCATTTCACCTTATTCTTTTTTTCCTTTTCTAATGATCTACATGTTGATGTATAAAGACAATAGCAGTCATGAAGGCTGGTTCAATGTGTCTTGCAATGCTGGCATATGAAGCCACAGATAAATTGAGATTAAGTCTCTCATTCCTTACAATATATTTTTACATTAAAAAAAGTCTGACGAAAATGCAGCAGCCGACCATAAGCTAAAAACATAGAGAAGTGAGAGAAGGAATGCAGCATGCCTAAGGTTCAGAATAAATTTGTTTTAGGTGAGCTTCCAGTTTGACAGGTTGTTTGACTTTCAGTTCACAAAATTTAAAATTACTATTGGCTGAAGCATTATGCAAATGCCTAAATCATTAATGACTATCAAGAATCATGCTAGATGCATGAATTTTAAAATGACCTAGTTTAAACAGATTTAATATAAGACAATTGCTATTTTTAAGATAGAAAGGCTACCTTTTCTGAAAGATAATCAAATTAAAAAGAAAAGGTAAGGGGTAGACAAATAAAGTCAGTACTTTTTATCTATTCTTAATCATACATATGAAAAATTTACCACTGTTCATTTTATGTAACAAAAAAATTTACTTAGTTTTAAGATACAGTAAGTAAAAGATATAATTAAGATCGCATATAAGAAATGACATTTCCATGCAAGTTTTTCTCCCAGTAAAACAACTTTAAAATGCAGAATTGTCACTTACACAAGACTTATCTTACATTTTGGGCCAATATGGTATTTGACTAACAGTAGTCAATGAACAAAAATCTTAAATATCCTCATAAAAGGAAAATGCAAGATCACCATTTGCATGAGGTTGTTTCGTATTAAGGCCAATATGGTATTTCACTAATTAGTCTTATAAAATTTTCAAATGGCTTCAACAAAAAGCTTGTACTAACGATCAGCTCAGCACAAGGCACAAAATGTGTAAAGTATGTAGAAAAAAGCACTATTTTCATGAGCAAAAAGATGAAGACTTATGTCACGTACACAAGATCTCACATCTAGCAAGAGTTTCATTACATTACACTATGTTCCTTCTAACAGTCATAACAATTTCAAGCTTATAAGTTAGAATATAACCATATGAAAATACAAAAGACTATTATAAAAACAGAAGCATGAAAATGTTAAAAGATGGAGAAACATTTTCTTCCTCAAAATCATTTTCCTTTTCATTTTACATCTCAAACAAGTATGCTAATATTCAGTTGTTTTTTCTTACTTCTGTAGTATACTTAAAAAAAAAAAAGAAGACAGTTTGATCTACAGAGAGTGGTAAAATAAGACAAAAATATTCTTTTTGTAAATTTTTTGTGCATTTAAGCAAACTCCCTTTCCATTTGTCTAAAATTTTAAGAGAATTTTCATCATTATAAATGCAGTATGCACAGTTAAAGAATAAGTTACATATGGAAATTATAAACAAAACAATAAGGTTTGAGCAAAACAGACAAAGGAAAGGCAGGTGGCAAAAGAAGCATACACAAAAAATTTTAAAATTTGAATTTAGAAGTTTTGTGCATACATACATATATTTTAATTTTTTTCCTCTAGGGTGTGTGACACTTTTGTATATTTTATAACAAAAGCAATAAACATAACTTTGCTTTTCTCTTAATTTTAAATTAAAATGAAATACAGTTCCAATTTTAAGCAGCAACTGATAGTGACAGTGTTGCATTTATCTTAATAGGAAGATTTTTCTGTACAAAAGCTCTTTATTTTACACACACACCAAAAATAAGGAGGTGATAATAAAATTTATTTTTAAAGATTTGAGAAAAAAAGAAAAAGGCCTGTCATCAAACAAAAAGAAAAGAATGAACCTTCATGATTTCCCCATGCTTATCACTTTTATTTCCAATGACAAAAACACTGGCTGTAAATGTTGCAGCCAGTCAATCTGTTTAACTATTTGCAACTCAGAGAAGTATAGATCAACTGCCTTTTGGGTTGCAACCACAGTTTTCAGATAATGAAGCATGGTATGCGTAAAATAAGGCTATTTAGCACAATCTAAAATAAAACCTAATAAGGGAATAAAAGGAAGCATTTTACTATACCAATATTAGCTATTTATACTATTAAAAAAATACCTGAGGCCCAATATAGTAGATTAAGTTATAAGAACGAATTAAAAAAAAAAAAAAAAAAAAAAAAAAAAAAAAAAGAGTCTCAACATTTTGTTACTTCTAATAAGATCAAAATGTTAGTTACAAAACACATTATTATTAAATGATGTCCAAAAGTACAATATCCACTGAATAAATGGTTAAATGATATCAAAATTTCTCCCTAACTATTTCTTAAAGAGATCATGTCTCATAATTTTAACTGATCAGTATATTGATTCTCACACAATGTTGACAGTGGACAAGATATGCCTGCACCATTAGTGAATCGGCAATAATATGAAACAATGAGCTTGCATAAATGGCTTGTGATTTTGGTCATGAATGCTTCAAAGTGAACATGATTTAACATAGACGAATTCGAAAGAGTACAGTATGATTTTACATCAAAATGACATATTATAATACTTACTGAGCTTAATATCCCCTTAGTGCTCAATAAAAGGCAAGAGAAATGGATTCCTCAGAGAAAACTTTTCCTCCGTATTTACTTGAAGAAAATGTGGAAGAAGACTGCTGTTGCCTATCTTACATGTACTAGAAGGGTACAATAGTTCTTTGTTTTACTTAAATACTTACAATAGTTCTTTGTTTTACTGAATAAATGCAAATTCATATTTTAATGGAGTTCAATGCAAGATTTAGATGATAAAATCCTGATTAACATATTACAAAAATTATTGTGCATAAATACTATTTGCCAATAGACTGACAAATAACACAGTTGATATGAACTGGAATTAATATTTAAAGCTTTAAGCTCTTTATTTTCACGAAATATTTTAGTATGCTGTAAATGAAAATAAGTCCTTTTGATAGAATAAAAATTAAATTTTTCTAATGCTGGATTTCCTTATTACCATTTACAAATATCCCATAATATTTCTGGTATAATAGTTTTCTGCAAATAGTTAAAATAATTATACTGATATAGTAAACCTTGCTAATCTAAACTAGGAAATAATGTCATATACAATATGCAATAACTGAGATTAAGGGGGTGGGAATAGCCATTCCATCATCTGGCTCGGTTTATCAAGGCAAGGCCTTTTATCCTCATACTGAGGCTAATTAAACTGTGATTTTATTGTTTGCATTCTATTCTGAACCACTGCAAATGTCACTTTCACTAGAATTTAAAAACTTTTTTTAAACATATATGATATTATCAAACTTCAAAGAATAGCAAATCCTAGAATTCACTAACACATACTTATATTTATACATATTGGTGAATAAAAGTCTACAAGAACTAGTAAAATAATTAAACTTTAATATTTTATCAATTACACAGCAGAAATTATATATATATATATGAATTTTTAAATAAGATCAATTTACTGTGGCAAATTAATTTTTTAAACTCTTTCTCAGCTAAATTCTCCCACTAATTTATGGCAATAATATTTCATTGGAAAAAAAGATATGACTGCTTTTATCCAGGCAAATTAGTAAATCCTTATACCTATGAGTACCATTTAAATTGATACAGAGTTACTAGATATTTTGGATTCTTTACAAAATAATATTTGTGAATGCTAGGATTCATAGTTCTTCAAGCAAATTTGTATAGTAATATATCTAAATACAAAATTTAATGGTGAATAGTATGTTTCATATAATTAAATACTTATATATTATTTACAAAACATTCAGATCAAATGAAAAGATAACAGCAAAATTCTAACTCAAATAGCATTATGGAAAAAATTTAAAACTACCAAAAATGAACACTGTTATGAATGATAAAATATTTAAGACACTATACTTGTTTTTTCAAACATATATTGTGGCATGGATGGAATTGCCACATTTTGTCCATACAAATTTTGATTCAATTTCAACACTATCATAATTTTACACACTCCCCAATTTCTAGCAATCTTTAGTTCAGTTAAGAAATTTGTTTTTAGTTGAACTGCAACAAAGATAAACTTGCAGCTTACATATGACCCCCTAAAAACGGCAACATTTAATTAGTAATATAGTTAATTAAAATCTGCCTACTCATAACTTATATCTAACACATTTCATTCATTTTTTATAACAAAATGAAGCCTGCTAATCTTAAATGGACAAGCTCATCATATAACTGAAAAGTGCACAGAATGCTTAATAAATCATTTACACATTAAAAAAAAATCACATAAAACAACTGAAATATCCGCATGCTTGAATATAAAAGAATATTCTCAGAAACATACATTCTGACATAAGAATAAGTTTTAGTACAAAATTTCATCACAGAAAGTGCTGTTAATATAACAATAAAAAACAAAACAGGGATATTAATTTATTCTTCTGTATTTGTGAGCATATTATAAATATTATTGATAACTGAGCACTCTTTCAAAAGTTCTAAAATCCACATCTTTTAAAGGCTTTAAATGTGCTCATGTGATATTAACACGTGGAGGTGGTATTGATTGCATTTTAAATAAAATGCACCTTATCCCAACAAAATATGCCTCTGGTCTTCAGATGCAAACCACACTATTATAATGTCATTTTATTGATTTTATATGCTACTTTAATAAGTGTTGAAATTTAAAACCCATCCTTTATATTGTAACTCTTTAAATGAAATCTGACACATTCATGTACAGTTTGATAATTCATTTATTTCACTGTATAACCTATCACTCATTTACTATAGTACAATCCTTACAAAAAAATTTCCAGAAATATTTTTTGCCCGATGCAAAAATTTGAAGTTTCTCACCTTTATCAATCTATAGCTAGATGTTTTGCTGCAACATTTCACTCAAACTGCTTTATGAGCTATTCTACTCAAGCATATTCATCAAAATCAGAAAATATTCTATACCTTATAAGAAGTCTTACTTTCACATTTTTAATATCTCAATATGAAATGATCCGAGTTTAGAGTAAACATGACCAAGCTTCATAAGCCATCTCGAATTTCTAACTAAGACAATAAACAAACTCATTTTCCTCATTAAATCATACTTAAACACCCCAAATTTTTTGCCTACACATTACCAACATGCAGATTTACAGTGCACAGAACAGCAAGGATATATTGCACTTTATTGTGACATTTCATTGTACCTATATTTATCTGCATACACTTAATATTTTATAATGATCTGGAATTAACTTATAAACGATTGTATGGCTATTACTGTAACAGTAACTTATTAACTATTGTACAATTTTAAAATTTCTCAAAAACTGCTAGTCTACTAGAGAAACTCTGCTATATTTTACTTCATAAATTAACTAACAGAAATATTATAAAGCACAGATTTCTCAGTCGAAAGATCTTTACAGGAACACAGAAACTTGATTATCAGAATCACAGATCATGACACCAAGGAAGCTTGTCACAAAGAAAATAATAATAATAAACAAAATTTCCTAAAAATTCAATTCATAAAGTTAATCATTTTTATAATAATGGCAACAGTTCTAACAACTTGCAACCTAAACATATCCCTCTCTGCATGTGATTGCAAGTTGCAAAATAACTTTACATTTATAATGTTTAAATCAATGATATAAAACACTGAAATCCTTAAAATTTCAAAATCATACAAGCAATATTATAGAAGAACAGAATAGGTAATTCTTTGATATAAGGATGTTTAACTCATTTTTAAAAGTAATAGTTAATGCTTTTACACATAAATACACAATGCTTTCTTCTAATACAGTGCATGCACAGAACAGTTATGAACTCATTATTTTATTGAATAATTTTTTTTACTGTTTTCTTGAAATCACTGTTAAAAATACTAACATATTCATGCCAATTTTCAAGTTTATAATATTACAGAATAATGCATTCATGCCCTAACATTTTGTTTGATACAGACCTTTTCCAATTCTGCTCATACAATTCAAATACATAATCTGCATTACAGTTATTCAATTCGGACAATCAAGGTAGCATTGTGCAAACTGTTAAAATTACCAACACTCCTTTACATATATGGAAAAAAAAATTCATTTTAGAATAAGAAGTACATATGAAACTTACCCCATCCAATACTTCAATAATTCAACAAACATACAAAATTTACATGATAGATTAAAAATATAGCTAAGAAATAGAGATCACAATAATTTAAATAAAAAATAAAGGGCTTTTAACTCATTTTTATCAAAGTATCCATAAGAAACAGAGTTTTGAATAAAGATATAAATTTATTAGCAAATTGAGACATTTCAAAATTAAAAGTAATTAGAGCACCATACAGAAAATATCAAATTCAGTGTAACTATGTTAAAAAGTTTCACATATGGTATTTATACAGTACATTTTGGTCCATATCATTTTTGAAAACTGAACTATACTGATACTAAATGTTAGGGTTAATGTGCTAAATGTAAAATTTTTAACAATGCATTCCATATTCTACACCTGGATGTATCTTAACAAACATAACCCATCTTCACAGATGATTGACATATATATACAAATTTCAACAGTCAACGAGATGAATATGGACACTGTCACAGGATGACAAAATCACAATGATGACTGATGATGTTTAATTTGCTAATGTATATGAGCCCTGAACACAATGGTCTAGTGTAAAAAAGTATAAAGGCTTTCTCTGTAACACTGTCCATGGCAAAATATTGCAGACAGCAAATAGTCATAATTTCTTACTTTAGATATTTTGTCTTTAAAATATAAATTAATTTTCCTAAATTTAATCATTTTGAGACATAAGTATATGTACGAGATGGAGATCTCGCACTAACTCCAGGTGTTTCGGAGGCAGTGAAATTTAAAAAATCCCATATGAGTATGGTGTCATCATGAGAACTGCTGACAATTTGGAATTCATCAAACTGTAGTCTAAATACACGACCTGAATGTTCCTGTAATAAAAATACAGCATTATTCAGAATACTGTGAAAATCTAAACTACATTTCTTAATAAAAAACAAAATGAATGGGAAATTCTGTAAGGTACAAATACATTATTATAAATAGGTTATATTAATTTTCTCAGGTATAAATACAGTACACATAGGAGGACCCCATTGTACTATTTTTGATATTTCCTGACTTCATATTTTATGTGTGTTCTCATAGTAACATGCTGAATTTAAATTACATTTAAAAGCAATATGCATTATATTACATGCATATTGCTTTTAAATGTAATTTTGTAACACAGATAAAACTTTAATTAATCTCAACATCAAATAACTAAAATCCCTCCCTGAAAAAAGGAATTTGAAAGGACACACACAAAAAAAAAAAACCCCTAAGATTCAGACAATATGACGATATGTATAGTACCTCAATCCTACGATGGTCTCAAGCAGGGTTAACTTGACATCACACATATTTAACTAAGTAGACTGAATTTATGATGTAATACTTCAGTGAATTCAATACCTGAACTGTAATTTGCATTGTAAAGAAACAGTAGTAAAGAGGCAGACAGTTAAAATTTTCTGAATCTCTTTTCACCAAGTAAAATACCATTTTATAATTGAATTACCAACATATGTTGCTGAACCAAATAATTAAACAGCAAATAAATGGTAAAGAGGCATTTTAATTTACAGATAACACAAAAATCAACTTTACACTGGCGATAGTTTTGCTGGAACTTTTTTTTACTGGAAGACTTTTGCATAGTATCCTTCCATTTATCATTATTCTTATCATGTAATGAAACAGGAAGTATATATTAAACCAAACCCTGATCTGAGAAGCCTAATTCATTTCTAATTTCAGTTTCACCAATTCTAAATGTTTCTTGGATATTTCATGAATTCCAATTTGTGATGTCATACTGCTGTTTAGAACATTTTTGCTTAGTCTGGATTTTTCTTTTTTTTGCTTTACATTTTCTACTTCACTTTGATAGTTTGAAAATAGGCAACAATTTTCATATTATTACTGTTTCCTCTCTAAGTTCGACAATCTATTAACATAAAATCTCTTTTAATTGGTAGCAACAGGACCTTTCTGACTCCAGATAACAAATATTTGCAAATAATTGAATATATACACTGCTGGCCATTCAAATTCCAACACGACGAAGGAATCATCTGGCAAACGTCAGAATCACATCACAGGAAGAAGAGGTAGGAATATTCAAATGATTAGTATTTCAGCACATCTATACGATGCAGGAGGAAGAAATGAAATCTGAAGCACTGCATAAAAGAAAAGCTATGTAGTGGATTTTTCATTTGGAAAGCGCTTTGTAAGGTTGGAGTTTATTCAGAATATCATATTATGCCTTAGCAAGTGTCGGAATTTGATAGAAGCAGAATTGTTGCGTTTCAAGAGTGTGGATTATCGTTCTGTGAAATCGCCTGTCACACTGGTCAACATCCAACTACTGGCATGCGAATATGGAATCAATGAGTTGCTGAGGGTCATACTGATTGGCATGCAAGATCTCAATGCCCTCCCGTGACTAATGTCCGAGAGGATGGACATATTGTGAGGTCATTCCTGAAAAAGTGTGCAACCACATAACGGACCATTAGTCAGAAAATAAGCATGTTTACAGCATGTCCAGTATCTGCTCGTGCAGTGTGCTGATGTTTGCAGCAGTGTGAACTAACCGCATGGTGACCATTACTTCAGCTTCCCTTGACAATGCAGCATAGAGAGAGAAACAACTCTGGTTTGCCAAATGACAAAGTTGGATACAGTAGTGGCACAATGTCAAATACCGGTTCTGCATGCAGTATTCTCAAGGTACGTAGGCCGTGACAGTAAACAATCGGACCTCATGCCCACTTTTGGTGGTAGACGTTTCATTAAAGCATCATGGAGACGGTGTTGAAACTGGAGGAGGTAAAGATGAGATATGAGTAATGTTATCTGGAAAGTGGTGAGCAGGTTTTATGCAATCAATTGAAACTGTAGTGTGCTTACCATTTAAATCAATAATAAAATTCTTATCATTTCTGTCAACGACTAAATGAGGTCCAGTATAAGATGGTGTCAATGGAGGATTAACTTTATCAGATCTTAGAAATATATGAGAACAAGTTTTTAATGAGGGGCTGATGAAAATTTTAGGACTACCATGCAGGGCAGTAGAAACATGATTTAAGGACCTCATTACTTGAAGAAAATTCTTTACATATGTGGAATTTAAGCTCTGGTTTATGGCATCATTGGTTTACTAGATCGGTAGGTAATCTTAATGTTGTGCCATAAACAAGTTGAGCAGAAGTTGCTTTGACATCATCCTTAATGACTGAGTGTGCCTAAAAGGAGAAGTGAAAGAGTTTCAGTCCATTGGGCTATATTATGTGCTTTAAGGGCTGTTTTAAGATGCCGATAAGTGTTTGATAATTCCATTTGACGTGTTGGTATGCAGAGGTTTGAATCCTGTTGCACCACGTGTACGAGTAAGTTCTCTAAAAAGATTAGATTCAAAATTTTTAATTGTAATAAGACATAATTGTAACTGGATAGCCAGCCATGTACTAAAACATGAGCGGCTGTTTCTGCAGTCATGTCTTTTGTTGGAATATCTTCCAGCCATCTTGTGAACTGGTCTATGATAGTCATGCAAAATTATTTTACATCAGATGGAGGTAGAAGGCATATAAAATCTATATGTATGTGTGCAAAACGAGCATCAGGTTCAGCAAATGTGCAGATATGAGATTTGGTATGCTCAGCGATTTTAGTTCGTTGACAGTGATCACAGCTGTGCACAAAAGATTTTATTTCTTTTCTCATGCCTGGCCAGACAAAACGTTTAGCAATTAAAACGATTGAGGCTGAGATACCTGGATGAGAGAAAAATGTAAAGTTTTAAAAACTGTTAATCTCATACACTGACAAAAGGTTGGGGATGTTTTTGTGACATGTCACAATACAGATGAATATCCTCAAGAGGGAAATATGTTTCGCTAATTTAAAGAGGATGTACAGTCAAAAAGTCTTTAATCCGGACCTCAAAGCTACCAACTTTCTGTGCATGCGTAAAAACATTATGCGTTTACGCATGCACATAATACCTTTACGCATGCGCGTTTAATGTATAACATACAGTATAAGCTAGGCTAAAATTATCTAATTATCTATTTCAGTTAATGTTGCAGATTGCGTTGTTCCTTAGTCTTCTAATTGGATCTGGCTTATATTTTTTGCAGACTGTTAGAGCAATTTTATAAAAGTAAGTTTTCGATTCTGGAGCTGTCAAAAAATCTACAAAGCAAAAGCATGTTTCGATGTCCATCAAACAAAAAGTGGAATTGCTGCAAAAAATGGATAAAAGCATATTCTTTGTTTCTCTAACCATTCCGAAATCTTTTTATCAATTTCGCGCTGCTCTGCGGGGTGGGGGTGGGGGTGGACGTCGCAGCGAGCAATGAACTGGAAGATGATCTGTCAGCACTATCCTTATCTTCAGGGCAGATGTTTTTATTTTATTCGGCTTATAATTCCTTACTAAATGTAGTATTTCAGTATACTTTTATACAGTATACTTTTTAGCTTTTTTAAGTTGTAAATCTTGGTTTATAATTTTATTTATGGTTCCTACAGCTGTAGTTAAAGACTCTGCAATTGATTTGCATCAATAGATATTCTCTTGTTAACAACAAATTAACATTAGAAACAAGAAACTAAATACTTTTTTGGGTATTCGTTTGGAGTCTTATCATTTATACATCTAGAAGTAGTAACCGATGGCCCCCCTTTCTGATTAATAATTTTAATATCATGCATTTTACAATGTGTTTGAATTACAGACTATGAATATTTCTCTCCATTAAGTGCAAAAACATATCCTTCAATTGACACCTTGCTTGTATGCGGAATTTTGACAGAAGAATAAATTTTAAATTAGAAGGCAATATTTTTTTTTATTTCAAAACACATTTGCTTTCTTTTAATTCTTTAACAAACATCATTCTAAAAATTTGTAAAAATCCTACTTACTAACCTTCAAACATGTAACTATACCCAAGATGTCAGCTATGAGCACTGGATGGTGTTTTAAAACTAAGAGAATATTCATTACTCTTAATGCCAACAGAAACAAAGTAATGCACTTTACATGTTTTAAAGTAATATAAAAAGCAAATATGGCATCTTTCAATTTGAATTGCTGTAAGTCATGAAAACTATCTTGAAGTTCACACATCAATACACAAAAAGGGATTGACAATTCTGACATCTTTCTATTCTGGATAATTTCTTAGTTTATTGGTTGGATAGGCTTGTTGTGCTGGGCAGCAGAAACATAAAACAAATACTTTCCACACTAAAGTCTTGAAATTGTTAGCCAGTTACATATTCTTTATGACTTAAACTTTAGACATCAGTTTAAACCTTCAAAAATGGCATTATTTTGATATTGCCGGTTAACTGAATGACAGTTATAAGAGATTTTATTATATTTATCTTTACTAAATTCTGGTGATGGATTAAAAAAAGTAGCTTTGATTTTTACCTTTCTTTATATGCCATATACCTTCCTTTATTTTCTTTTACATTTTGTTACTTTTGTTTCTTAATTTGTTTCCTTTTACTCTAGTTTTGTTTATTCATTAATCAAAGTTTATTCTTTTAATAAACTGTACCACAAGTGCAGAAATTTTTATAGATTTTAAACTGCTGCTGAAATGCTGGTAACACATCACTCTAAACTTCACATTAGTACAACTGAAAATGTCCACTTTGTTACTTTAAAAGTATTCTGAAATTATAGAAGAGAAATCAACAATTTAAGGTTTGAAGCAAGGCACAACTTAACCTTCACAAAAGTTTTCTCATAAAGAAGTGCTTGAAACATATTTCAAATTTCACATTAAAAATGTTTTGTTAAATGCGATCATAAACTTTCAATTTATTGTTTTAAAAGGTGCTCTGAAATTATGGAAGTTAAGTAGTTAATTGTGGCTAACAATTCAAGTTTTAAAACAGGGCATGATTTAACACTAACAAGGGTTTTGTAGAGAACATTATGGCATTTTGAGAGGCCTTTAAAAGTAATGAAAAAATTTAAACTTAGTTTAAGATGGATTATATCAAAAACAAAAAAGTTGGATTTGTGTCCAGCCTCTCTTTAAATGTACAGTTTTTCTACATAACCGTAGTCAGTTTAAAAAGCCACTTCATCATGTCGTTACAAATTCTGCAAATCTTTATCAAAAACTGAGTGAAATGAGTATTAAAAGAGCCATTTAAAAAGTGCTTAATTTTGCATCTTTTTCTCTTGCTAAGTGAATATAAATCTTGCACCAGAGCCCAAAGTACTTTTCATTAATCCCATTTTCTCATTCATTCAGATTACAAAAAAAAAAAAAAAAAAAAAAAAAAAAAACAGAATTATACATAACATTTCACAAAACTTCTAAATTCTAAACTGAAATAGTTTAAACTTACATAATATTCAATTTTACACTGACATTAGATTTACTGAAAAGTTCTATGCAATTTTGGCAGGCTTAATGCAAGTATAAGATATGTAACAGAAATCTAAGATCAAATTTGCATCATTTTATTGCTCAAGTAGGTATACTTCTTGCTGTTCTATATGGTTGTCTCCGCCTCAGGAAAAAAGACTGTCTTTAAATCAATTTTTGACATATATTCTAATACTTAGCAGATTTTGGCAATGCATTTCCACAAAATTTGAGTGTAATCGAACGTGTGAAATACACACATATGTGGGACTAGAAGAGAAACACGCTAATGTGACAATCAAAATCGTAAAAAACAACCTTGTATTTAGCGTAGGTATAATGAAAACTCAATCGATTTCGAGGGCAGCTAAAGGTCCCTCCTCATCAGGAGAAAGAAATACATAGAAAGAAGAAAATAGGAGGAGTCACAGAAACACGTGGTCCTTATCAGCACTGCACGTGGTTATAACTAGATTTTTAATCAGAGTTGCACTGGCCACTTACTTTTACTGAGCCAGGCTATCTGATCAAGCATAAAGAAATATTAGCGAAGTTAAACTAGGGAGCGAGGGACAAATGCACCTTTCGCTCAAAATCTGAATTTCAAATTGTTTGAGTTCAGATTTGGTGCATTTGTCCCTCGCTCCCTAGTTTAACTTCGCTAATATTTCTTTATGCTTGATCAGATAGCCTGGCTCAGTAAAAGTAGGCGGCCAGTGCAACTCTGATTAAAAATCTAGTTATAACCAAGTGCAGTGCTGATAAAGACCACGTGTTTCTGTGACTCCTTCTCCTATTTTCTTCTTTCTATGTATTTCTTTCTCCTGATGAGTAGGGACCTTTAGCTGCCCTCGAAATCAATTGAGTGTTTCATTATACCTACGCTAAATACAAGGTTGTTTTTTTTTTTTACGATTTTGATTGACACATATGTGGGTTGATTTTTATCACTATACTTGAAATATGGTCAAATAGCAGCATCTCTATTGAATGTGTTGTGTGTATCTCTATTGAATGTGTAAAGGATGCAGATAATTCAGAAAGTATTGAGTCTTACTATTATAAATAACATTCCAATTACTATACCCTTGTTATCCAGATCTTTGTTATTTACAAGACTGCATACATATTTGAATTCCCAAATTATTTCTTTCTCTAGAGATAAAATTAGTTATTTTGTCTTTCAGAGGAACAATATAAATTTTAATTCTTCCAGAACTTTACAATATTCCTAGTCAGTATGCTTTAGCGATGGCAAAACTAACAGAGCTTTAAAATTTTGTATCAATAAAAAATTATCTTCAGTTGCAATTACTACTGCAAATTCTTACACTTATGTTAGAAAAAGACAAATTAATATACTAGCCATCAGTATCTATTGATGGTGTCTCGTTCTTTTAAATTCATTTCTACTAAAATTATATAAGAAAAAAAATTTAACAGGTCAATCAGATTTCGCTGATGATTTCCAATCCTATCTATGACTTTAATTCTGATTTTTCCTCTCATTTTCTAACTACTTAAGTGTTTCCTTTGTATTTTCTTAACATTTCCTGAAGTTTTTCAAGAAAAAGTGGCTCTTTTCATAATATTTTGCTCCATACCTTTCTCTTTTATTTAGCAGAAAGTAATAATGATAGTTGCTTTTCAATTTTGATATTTTAAATTTCTTCCATTTTTACAATTATCTCTTACCAAATGATGGACAATACTTTTGCTCCTACAAAAGAAACTGCATCAGACTTTCTTGAATGTACATACTTTTTCTGTAAATTTATGGCAATCTAAAGTTACATCTGGCCTAATTTTAAAGCATTAAGGAGACAACACGAAACTGCAACTCCAGTAAGAGTAATTTATTTTAAGCATTGGCAGATGTTTCACTCAAACTATGTGAAAAAATACAACACATGCTACCCTTTTGGATGATAAGACATTCTGAAAAACATGCATCTCACAGATTTAAAAAAAAAAAAAAAAAAAAAAAAAAAAAAAAAAAAAAACTGCCAATTCTTTTGCATGTGTGCATGAACACACACACACTCACATATACACAGGCATAAAGAAAATATTAATGCTTACCACCAAAGTACGCAGACATAAAGTTCCAGCAGGAGCTCTAGGATCTAATGCAGCAGCCAAATCCCACACTTTGATTTTTCTGTAAAATTTCAAGCTAATGAATATTTCATACAGTCAAGTTATGCATCTCACAGCCTGATGCATTGTAACCTCATCATAAGAATACCTGAACATATTTATGAATTATTTACTATATCATAAAAGTAGCATTATATATACTAAATGCCTTACCCATCATATGCACCACTAACAATACGTTTGTTGTCAAATCTTATGCATCTCACTAATTCTTCATGTCCTTCAAGTGTTCGAAGGCATGCACCACATTCTATATCCCATAACCTAAAGAACAGAATAATACTGAATGATTTGAGTTAAATGTGAAGTTGCATTCTAAAACCTTTGGAAAAGAACAGAAAAATGAGCCACTAAGAAAATATGATGCTATAACCAACTATACAATAGTCATCAAAACTAAAGATAATAAGAAAACATACGCTCACTAAGCCAATGTAGTAACCAATACCCAATGCTGCAATTATTTATGTTAATTAAATACAACTGAACAAAAAACTGCCCTTCTGCACATATATTAATGCCAGAAATATGCAAATTCGATGAGTGACAAAGTGAAGCAATGGACGCATGTTGCAATTCTAGTCTCTAGTGCTGTTTAACCGTTTTGAGTCCGGAGAAGCGCAGTTGCACTTCACTTGTCGTATGCCAAAAATACGGCGCAGCGCGATAGCGCTTCTCTTGTTTTGTATTGAGAATGCGAAGATGCTGCTGTTGGTTAGTATACTTTACGCAATTATTGAGAGCAGTTGTAGTGATATCAGTAGCAGTTGTTTTATAGGAATTGGAAAATGTTTTCATTTTTTTACCAAGTGTTATACTGATAATTACGAAATAACCCATGTCAAGTTCTGATTCATTTGAAAGTGACTATGTTATGAGAAGTGATAATGAAGAGTATAGTAAAGACCTTGAAAGTGATAGTGGAAGTGACATCATCATTCGTTCTAAGAGATTATGAGTTATTAGTGATAGCAGTGATGATGATGAGAAGTAACTGCAAGTACCTCCGATGATATTATTGATGAGTTTTTACCCGTGGATACAATTTTTTCGAATGAATCGAATATTTTTTCTGAAGTACCTGGACCAAAGCATGCCCCTCTTCCTGATGAGAAACCAATTGAATATTTGAATAATTTTTTTTTCAAGTATACTAACCAACAGCAGCATCTTTGCATTCTTGATACAAAACAAAAGAAGCGCTATCGCAATGCGCCGTATTTTTGGCATACGACAAGTGAAGCATGATAGCGCTTCGCCGGACTCAAACAGTTAAAGTGAATGTGGTTTCCATATCCCTCAAATGTCATATCAAGAGTTTGGAACCCCTTTTAAAGCACTAGATCAGTTGATAGACAGCCCAGTTAAGGCCGATCAAAAGCAACAACTGCATCAGAAGACCATTTTCTGTCATGGTCGGCTTGAAGAAACCATGAAGCGACTACAAGAGATTTGATTTTAGGCGGCCACGGGAACTCAATTTAGCCTTTCTATTGCTGCACGAGGGCTTAATGAAGTTGGACTGTATGCAAGATAACACATGGTTTGTGTCCCACTCACTTCAGCTTCCAGAGGGGCCGGTTCAAAGTAAACAAAACATAATGTTCAATGGAGCCAAGACAACTAAACTCAAGCATTGCTTACTGATGAGTCCAGATATAGTCTGAACAGTGATTCCAGATGTGTTTTTTATAATCTGGAGTGAGGAAGGAACATGCAATTTGCCTTCCCTTGTCCTTGAAACATCTCATTTCTATGACTGCAGTTTAATGGTTTGGAGAGGCATCATAACAGATGGCCACACCAAGCTGTATATCTTTCAAAGAGGTCCTATACTGCTCAAAGATATGTGGATGAGGAACTGGAAGGCCAAGTTACAGTGTTTAGGGATGCTGTTCGCGACAGTAACTGGCCTCATCAAGCCTACGTGGTATCAGAATACTTACAAACAGAATATATCACTCAAATAGATTGGCCACCTTACTCAACTAAACATGTTTGGGATGCCTCAGGATGGCGAATTTCAGCATGCCAAATTCCTCCCCGAATCCTCCAGAAGGTGAAAAGCGCACATTTAGAAAATTGGTGTATAGTTCCACAAGTCTTGATCTGCACCTTGGAAAAAATTAATTGAAATCCAGATGTAAGTATGCATATCTGTCTGAGGTGATCATACACCAGACTAAAGAAAAAATTTTCCCACAAAAGGCGACTTAATTTATTCATCATTTTCTGATTTCCATAAATTTGGTTTCAATTTCAATATTTTGCAAATAATCAACTGCTAAACATAATTTCTGTTAACTAATGCTTTTGTACAAATTTCTGTTCACAATTTTCATTAAGTATCAGTTATGTTTTATTTCTGTCATTATCCTTTAATTTTGATAACCATTATATATAAGATACACAAAGCATAAAAAGTGTTTAAAATAAATATGTAAGTACACATAAAAAATGTACAATTTTAAGATGAAAAGAAGTGCTGCTATGTTTTTTAAATAAGTTTTGAGTTTTATACCACAAAATTACTAATTCATACAGATGTCATTTGATGCAATAATCTTATTTTACAAAAAATTACAATTTATTTTATGATTTATTTAGATTTTAGTCGCAGTTATGTTTATAAATTACATTTTAAATATTTGCTATTGCTATGTCCATGCTGTGGACAGTATTGTTGTTAATATGAGTAATAGTCATGGGTGGGCTAAGGGATAAGCTGCTGTTAGCCATAGGTAAGTAATTTTATTTCAGGAAAAACAGAAACTTAATGCTGCAGAGAGGATCTAAGATAACGGTAATTATTTCCCATCTAAGAATTTACAGTAACGATGTTCCCCCAAAGGTGTATTACATATGAAAAAGAAACATTAACAATTAGCAAGTAATAAAATAAGCAGATTACATTATACTGCATATATTTTTGTATTATACTATACAAATTACACTTGTATATGTTATACTTATTTATAATATTTGTATCCTGTGAAATTCTGGTAATGTTATCACACTACTGCATGAAATCAAGATTTTCATTAAGCAGAATACAAAAAGTACTGTATTATAGGTGCTCACATTTTCTTTTTTTTATGTAATAATTTTTGCACAGTAACAAACATTCTTTTAAATTAAAAAAAAAAAAAAAAAAAAAAAAAAAAAAATGGCACTTCAGAAAAATGAAAACAATTTAAAAGGGCACTTCAATTAATATGAAAATAATCTAACAGAAATTAGTAAATATGAAATTCATTTGACATTCACAAAATCTCTCAAAATCTAAAAGATGCAAAAGTAAATATGGAAATCTATATCATGATAAAATTACTAGCCTAGACCTCGAATATGAGTGACAGCCCCCTGATTTTGTCCATGCCCATACCAGATTTGCTAAAGAAAACAACCCAAAGTCGGAATCCAACAGCTTATTAGTCTTCCCATTAACTTTACATCAACAAATTTTAAAAGCCACCATTTCACAAATACAACAATCGCATATCCATGCCTCATTTTCATGTGAAATTTCCTGATCTTTATAATTCAAGGAAATAATTTTGTTCAAAAGAATTTTACAAAGTTTGGAAAGATACAAAAACTTTCTAGTATTATTACTTTTTTTAATATTTTCAGCACCAGCTGATAGTAAATTGCATAAAATGAAGTGTACATGATTATTTTGGAAAAAAAAAATTAAGAAAGAAGAGAAGAAAAATTAAGGATCAGCTAACAGCTACAGAAATGAGCTACCTCAAATCGTAAATGTCTCACTTTATGAATAATTCGGTTCAGGGACAAATACCTGAGCAAAATAAGCCTTGGATGACGAACAGTGTCTTGAGTTACGAACACTCAATTCGGCAAAGTGTGATTTTCAAAGGTGTTTTAAGGAACCTATGCAATACTCAGGGGCTTCTAGAAACACCAAATTAATAATTTCTATTATTTAACTCTTATTAACAAAGACCTACCAGCAAGTGACATGAATTTGGCCTGGAGGTAATTATGACTAGACTGGGTTGCATGCAGAGCTTTTAGTGCTTTGATACTTGGGATTTGTTATGATATTGTGTTTTCAAGCAAAACCATGGTCTAGGAAGTTAACAATAAAGACAAGATGTAGTTACTAGACCACAAAAATGATCTCATCAAGAAACAGCTACAACAACTTCAAAAGAAGAGGAAGAAAGAGAAATGATCCTAGTTCTCTAATGGTCGTAATTTGGGCAAAAGGGGAGATCAGATGCAATATTTTTACATATCATGACTCTGAAAAAGCAGGAGCAACCTATAGGATAAGCTTTTTCAATAAGTATGTCATGTCACAGTTTTGAAGCATTTTAAAATATAGGTTACAACAAAACACACTTCACAAATTGTGAGTGAAATGGAGGCTCAGTGAATCTCAAACAGAATAGACTGGGATTAAAGACAAAGAACGACATAAAAAAGGATGCCTCTTAAAGATATTTTTTATGCAAGATGAGGCCTCACCCAAATGGCATTTTCCTCATCATTTTCCACATACACATTCACTCTTCTTTATGCAGCAACAGCAAAATTAAATTTTTTTAAAAATCTGTTTAATATTATTAATCTTTTTTATTTTATATTTAATAATCTTCACTGGTTAACTTGTGCACAGTGTGCTCTCATAACGTTTAAATAAGCAACCATCTGAAATCCAGGAACAAATCAATGTCTTGCATTTATTCTTGTGGGAAAAACTGTTCTGGATTGCGAGCATTCTCGGTGATGAACAGCCTTCAGGAATAAATTACATATATCAGCCAAGGTTTCACTGTGTTTCATTAAAATGTAGTCGTTGAAAAGAAGAACATAATACCAATTTTTACAATCTAATTAGTTGTTCTTAATTATATGTTTGACATACCACTACTTAACAAATTGATTCAATATACATAGACTGTATATCACATACATACATTACATATTAATCCAAACTAATTTATAATTTTAATTTTTCTTTTAAAATAAAAGAAACACATTTACATGAAAAATCAGCAATTTATAAATTAAAACATCACTTTTGGACAGAAATTATATAAAATATTAAGAAAATACCGAAAATAATTTATACAGTGCGAGCCAGAATTTGGTCCATGTTTCGCATTCAGGAGCTTTGACAGTGAATGAATTTGTTAAGAATGATTCTGTTATTTTCACACATTCAGATTACGTTGAATTAGTTTCATTCACTCCAAGATGCATAACAAAAATATAATTCAATTTTTCTTATTGTTTAAATCATTTGCACTATCAATTTGTAAAAACCCATCTATACAAACGCAAGAATGTTTTGCAATTCAAAAAGCTCTTTTGTGTTTTTCTCAGATTTTTACCATTCAAATTCTTCATAACACAACATATGAATTTTTTTTTGGGGGGGGAGGTTCTTATATTAAAGTGGATCTGAATATTTATTATAAATGTTGATAATTTAACATACAAATACAGGTTCAATATTTTTCACAAGAATTTACACTTTGAAATACCACAAAACAAAAAAAAGACCACTATTTAAGACATATTAAAAAGCACTGTAATTAAAATTACTAGGCTTGCATTTACGGCTGGCCTATTATAAAAGCAGCTGTTAACTTTTCAGGATGGGTTGTCACACATGCATCAGCTGCCAAATATATATTGCAGCTGGGTATATCACATACGAATAATCATTTAAACTGGCTCTTAGGATGGGTGCACCACATGTGAATTTTTAGACTGAACATTTAATTGGTATCTTATTCTGCCACTACATGTAGCCCTATGTCTGTTATGGTGGAGTTTATTGACTGGAGGATGTTGACCTTCGTGCCATGGTAGTATCTTTTGTTTTTGGTATTTTGTTTTGGAATCAAAAGAGAAGTTGTGGGTTGAATAATACAAATAAACAGAGCTGGCTATTAATTGCATCAGCTGATATGAACAACGCATAGGGATGATCCCAATGCTTCTCAATACTTCCTTTTAAACTGGAATATATGGTCTGTTGTTTTAAAAGCTTTACTTTAACCCACTGAGAGCCATGGCCAGCTTTACCCGGTCATGAGATTTTTTGTCACTTGGTACTTGGTATAATATATTAGCATAGAATTTACGATATTTTGCTTCCTTATTTTCTTTAATAATATAAATGTAAGTTTATGAAAATAGAGCCTAAAGTGAGTAAATATACAAGTTTAGCTAATAAAGGCTCTTTTAATACAAGTCTTCATGATAGATCCAAAAACCCGAGCTGTTCAGAGGGTTAAACGTTTTGTGGAAATTGTCTACATGGCAATTACAGAAACTTGTAACTGAACAAGGAACTATATCTGTTTATAAAATTGAAAGGGAACTATTAGCACAATAATTAAATTGCAGAAACAATTTACACTGAAAGAAATGTTTAAAAATAAATATTAAGTTTTTTCTTTTCTCGCTCTCACTTAAAAAAAATTTTTTTTTTAAAGATTCTCTTAAGGTCATAAAAGCTTCATTATTTTATAAGCTACTATTTCATATACTTAGTTTCAAAGCTTTCAAAGTTATCTAGTTTTAAACTGATGGTTGACAATTCAGAAATTTTCAAAATCTAGAATCGCGGAAGTTCTGACGATTCTAGATCTCGTACTTAGTTTCACAATAACAGAAAATTTAATTGCAACATTCACTTGAATTATACTTATCTGCACTTAAAACATTCAAATAGCTTGAAGCAATTTATGAAAAAAGTTAAAAGTCTAATTCACCTGATAGTATTATCTGAACTGCCACTCACAACAAGTCGATCTCTGTATTGCAAACATGCTATACCACGTTTATGACCATTTAAAGTTCGAACAAATTCACATGATGATGTATTCCACACTTTTATTGTTCTATCACCAGAGGCCGATACAATGTATTTTTCATCAAAGTCCACAACATTAACTGCTGCACGGTGTCCAACTAGTACTCGACGTAAATTTATATCTGAAGCTGAAATCATGTCCCAAACAGCTATAGATCTATCCTATAAAACAAAATATCAGAAAATACAGTAAATACTGAGCTCTTTAGATAAAAGTATACTTCCTTTTATTTAAATAAGGCAAAATTTTGTTTTGGGGGGGAATTTTCTTTTTTTGGGGGAAAAAAAAGATTTCAAACTTGATTTTTGTAACATGTAAAGGAAGACAGTCAAAATTAGCTCTAGTTTTACTTGAGAATAAAATTACAATATATATAATGCAACCTACACACACACTAAGTAATAAAATTTATTAAGCTATATATGAAATGAAATCTGTTTGCACAATACATAAAAAGAAATCTTTTTATACAATACACATGCAATATACACAGAAAATTATTTTTACATTAAAAAAATATGGCACATTTTAAAGCATGAAACAACTATAAAGTATCATAGTAATTAACTACATAAAATAGCAACCATATCCCTATTATAATAATGTAGCACAAATTTTTCAAGACCTTCCCAGTGCTCATTTGCTTGCTGTTAATATATCCATATCATTTCTGGTTACTAATGGAATTGTTAAGTTTCATACTGAATCTTGTTCTACAACCCCCCGCCCCCCGTTTTCAACAGGCATGAAGTTTTTCCTTTCAAATACAACAAGTTTTCCATCTGATGCAAAAGAAAGAAAATCGTATCCATTATATAATTTAATATTGAATATAATCATATTAATACATTAAAAATATGCATTTGGGTTTTAAAAATACATTATACATATAATTTATGTATGGTTACAGTCATGCTTTTCATATATACAGGCATGTATGTAATAAGACTGTCATTATTTTAATGAGGTGACTTGGTGAAAGAAAGGTGCAACGGATTGACGTGGTTCTCGACACTATAACTGCATAGTTAGCAAAATGACACGCAAAGAACACACATAATGATAAATTTCACACAGAATTTGATTCCATGGTAATGCACATCATCACTAAGGGTGCACTATGCACCCCACAATTGTATGCAGCTTACATCTTTTAAACAATTGATGAAACCGGAAAAGTAAACTCCGCATGGTGGCTAACAGCAATGCAAAGCAGTGAAATGAAGCAACAGAGGAGAAGAAAGGGAGCTGCGATGCAATTACCTTTTTTATACCATTTCAGATCACATGGCAGTTTAATTTCCAGATGTTGGGTTCAGATTTCATGGATAAGTGTGCAATACAGATTAGATGACGGATCTTTTTCATTTAGTTAGAAATATTATTGCTCTGTTATTTTTAAAATGAAGACAAGTTAAAGGCTAATATTTATTTATTATTTGAAAGATAGCTATTTTATATTTTACAGAAACTTTCACCAAAATAATTATTTACATAACTGCAAAATATAAACTCTGATAATATTTTAGAAGTCCTATTCAAAATTTTCAGTCCAAAAGTCTGTGTTCTAACGGCCATTGCCACTGGGCTTTATCTAAGCTAACGGAGTCAGTTCCATGTGTCGACTAGCTCCGCTATGCCTGCAGTTCAGATTTTTCAACTTGCTGCCCTATGAGGGAAAAACTGTTTTTGGAGATGGGTTGGCTACATCAATTAGCTCCATTAACGCAGATAAATCCCACTGAGAATGGCCTTTTAGAGTCCATACAATTAGATTTTTTCAGGAAACGCTTTGCACACAATATCACATTTGTAGAAATTTTGCACACACACATTACTTTTCAATAACCACAACAAATTTCAAAATGTTCAAAACATAACTAATTTGCATTATTATAGTTTATATTTTAACGTCATAAATTTTATAATAGTATTTCTAAAATAATGGTTTTTACAGTTACTGTTACATTCCTAACTTTCTTAAGTTACAGAAAACTAGAAGACGCCTCAGCTTTCTCTAAAACAAACATTTTTATCTATTAGGCAAAACCACTTAAAACTGACTCATGTGTATCATTATTGTTAGAACCCAGCCTCATTTGTTATTTTCTTTTCATAGTTTGTCACTGCAAGAGTGGCAACCATCTGATCTTTGTTGTAGTTTGTTGCAGTTCTATAAATTTTGAAAATAAATATGATGCTGTAGAATTTTATATGTAAAGTTATTTTATTTTAAATTTATTAGGAGAAAGGAGAACGGTTAGTTCTTGCAAATCTCGAACAATTTTGGTGACGACGGAAGTGATCGGTAAAACAAGTCAAGGTAATTTTGTTGGTTTTATCGAATTTAATTCTATTTGACTTTATTGAATTTATTTTTATTGAAATGGAATCGTTAATTGAGAAATGAAAACTTGTCAGAGCGTCTTTTACGAGAACAATTAATGCAATTTTGCAAGAATTAAAAAAGGAAATTCCTGATGCAAAATCTGTAAAAACGAAACTTGTTACTTTAGAACGTTTATCTGTTGAACTTAATGCATTTGATACTCAAATATTAAATTCTGAATTTTCTTCAAGTGATCACTTTGAAAGTGAATGGGTGAAAATTGAAGAATACAAAGAAAAATTAGATTTAATACGAGTAGAAACGGAATTATTCTTCAATCGCCAAACGACACTATCCATAGACAGTGTTCCGCCGAATTCGAACAAACGGAAACTGAAGTTACCTAAAATTGAGTTAAAACAATTCGGTGGCGAAATTAAAGATTGGTTACCGTTTTGGGGGCAATTTCGGCAAATACATGAAGATAAAGAAATTCAAAACGAGGATAAGATGCATTATCTCGTTCAAGCGACCGTACCCGGTACGAGACCACGGGATATTGTAAACAGCTTCCCTGTAACTGCCGAAAATTATGAAAAAGCTATAGAAAGCTTAAAAAATAGGTTTGGCAGGGAAGAATTGTTGGTAGAATTCTATATTCGGGAATTATTAGGTTTGATTATTAAAAATGTCACTGATCAAAAGGGAAAACACAGTATATCAGAATTGTATGACAAGTTAAGAGTCGTATTTGCGTTCGTTGGAGTCAATAGGAATGACAAGCAATAAATACGCTGCAATGCTGTTTCCGCTCGTGGAATCTTGCATTCCCGAGGAAATTTTACGAGTTTGGATTAGAAATTATGCATCAATAATTACAGCAGAAAATTCTCACTCTGATAAATTGAAACAATTATTATTGTTTTTAAAGAATGAAGTGAAAGGAGAGCAGAGAATTTCTTTGGCAAAAGCTGGATTTAAATTAATTGATTCGGGTGCCAAGAGAGAAAGTAGAAAAGATAAAAGGTATTAGAGTGAACATTTCGTGCCTACAGCAAATGATTTATTCTCAGGCCATAATAAAGCAACCAATTATAGTGAGAAGAATTCTTGCATATTTTGTGAAAAATTTCATGAAAGTCGAGATTGCTTTGTTGCTCAGAAGATGCCTCTGAGCCAAAAGAATGATGAAATTAAGAAAAAGAAGAGTTGCTTCTTCTGCCTCAAAATTGGACACAGGGCCAAGCAATGTAAGACAAATGTACAATGTATGATATGTTCGAAAAGACATTGGGGTGTCATGTGTCCGGATTTGCCCCCCAATCAAAAGAGCAATGATGTTGAAAAGAATAAAGAGGAAACACAAAAAATATCACTTGCGAGCACTAATTTCCTAGATGAAGTGTTTCTTCAAACACTAGTAATTAATATAGACACAAACAAAAAGCAGAAGACAGTAAGGGCACTTATCAATACAGGATCGCAACATTCATACATATTAAAGGAGACTGCCGTAGACATAGGGTGCCACGCAATTGGATCTGAATCTTTAATCCATGCACTTTTTGGAGGAGTAACAACAAAGAGAGAAATTCACAAACGCTATGAAGTGAACGTTAGAAGAGCCTAAGAGGTGATTTTTCTAGACGACTAATCTTGTTGGAACAGTCGAAGATTTGTGGACCAGTAGTCAGTTTACAGCCTGGACCATGGATAGAAGAACTAAGACAGAAGAATATCCATGCATCTGATGTAGGAAAAAAAAGGATTTGAAAATAGAAGTTCTTATTGGAGCTGACGTCGCAGGTGTTCTGTTAACCGGAAGAATTCAGAAATTAGAAAATGGGCTGACTGCTGCTGTTGAATCACTACTTGGATGGACAATCATGAAAAAGATAAAATGATAACGTTTCAGAAAGAAACTCCTTGTCCATGTCTTCAACCATAACGTCGATGTTGACTCACAGCAGTGACATAGAAAACTTGATGAAGCTAGAAGCACTGGGAATTACAGATGCCAAAGAAAGTAAAACTGACTGAGAGTTAGAAGAAGCAGTGTGAGATCACTTTCACAAGACTCTGAAGAGGGTGGATGATCGCTATGAAGTCAGTTTACCTTGGATCAACGATAAAGAAGCTTTACCAAGTAGTAGAGAAGTTGCTGAAAAGCGATTAATTTCCACGACAAAGAAGCTCATGTTGAAAGATAAATTTGAAACATACAATGCAGTGTTCGAAGAATGGCTCGAATCTGGAGTAATAAAAGAAGTAATAGAAGAAGAGGAACGAGTTAACAATCATTATCTTCCCCACAGACCAGTCTTCAAAGATAACTGTACAAAAGCAGTAAGGCCTGTATTTGACGCTTCGTGCAAGCAAAAAGATTTCCTGTCACTTAATGACTGTTTAGCAAAAGGTCAAAATTTAATTGAATTAATACCTAGATTGCTTCTTGGAATTTAGGCAAGGAAAAATAGGGATTATCTCAGATATTAAAAGAGCTTTTCTTCAAATATCTGTTCAAAGATCTGAATCGTAATTTTCTAAGATTCCTATGGTGGAAAACCTCGGAAACAAAAGGAAAAAAAGAAAAAATTTCGCCATTGCGGAGTAGTAGTCTTTGGACTAAAATGCAGTCCGTTTCTTTTTTAGGAGCAGTGATAAACTCTCATTTAGACCAATGTGAACCTTCTTTGAAGGAAGTGGCTACAAAATTGAAAAATTCCTTCTATGTTGACAACTGTGTCACTTCAGTGAATTCGAATGAAGAAGCAGAATACTTTATTGCAAAATCAACTCAGTTAATGGCAAGTGCTAACTTTGACTTAAGAG